TCACTGCTCACTCTCCACGCAGCTTCAGGGTTGGGCAGCTCTCTCGCTCACGGACGGCTTCCTTTCTACAGAGCTAGACTTCAGAAGAATCAGCTTTTTTCCGGAACAGCAATGCATCAGACTATGTATAAGGATGTGTGTGTGTGTGTGTGTGTGTGCGCGCGCGTGTTTGTTTACAGGTGAGTATGTGTGTCTTTGCTATATGAGCATCTCTGAGTATATATGAATATGTGTATATCTGTGTGTATATGTGAGTGTGTGTGTGCCCTTGTGTATGTATGAGTGTATGTGTCTCAGGGTGTATCTTTATTTGTGATTGTATGTGTTTCTCTGTATATGTATGTGTGTATATGTAAGTATGTGTGCAAATATGTGCATACGTGAGTGTATGTATATTGAGTGTTATGTGAGTCTTTGTAAGGGTGTCTGCATGGATAGTGAGGGTGTCTTTATGTGTACATGCAGGAGCTCTCCCTGTGGGCTTAGATCTGTGCTTGGGGCCATGTCACCCTGTAGAACACTGAAGACTCTGGTGGATGGGTGCTGCCAACGGGGAGTGTGTTATACTGTGTGGTCCAGCATCTCTACAGATTCCTTGGCTGGTCCAGGGGCATCGCTGCCTTTTCATGCCCGAGTTTACCCTCTGCTGAGCCCCAACAGAGAGCATCACCACAGAACACTTATGATAGGATAAAAACTTTCATTTTAAGTGTAACGACTCCTCAGTTTGGGAACTGAGTTTATAGCTCAAATTCTGTCTTTAGTGATCCAAGGTTCTGCTTAAATTCCAGTTTGTAAAGCAGAATTTTGTGATACTGAACACTGTGAAATAAGTTGAGCTTACAAGGATTTGGAAATCTTTCCCCTTGGAGATTTTAGTTACAACTTTATTTCTAGTAGGAAACATATAATCTCTGTCCTGTCTTTGTAAGCTTTCTTGATGAAGAAGTAGATTATGGATACTGGCAAAGGGTCTGTAGCCAATTGTTATCAAATAAGAAATAATCACTTTTCCTTTGGGCATTTAGATGTCTCTAAGAAAAATGCTAGAAACTTCAAATGTTAATTTGAACCCAATTCATTCTTACCCAGATACACTATAGCAACACCGAAGTGAGGTCGGGCAGTCGGTGGCCTCAACCTCCTCGCTTTCACCATCCACATGCGGGGAGGAAAGAATCTGCAGGTTTCTTTATTCCCAAAAGACTGAACCCTTGTAATGTTGCATCATCTGCTCTTCATATTCTGGGATTACGTTGATTAGAAAGGAGTGTACATCTTCCGGATGCTTTAGACTTAAGGGGGTGGAGGAAGGTTTTGAGTCTTGGGGAGGGTGAGTGGGGGAGAAAAGATACACTGGGAAATAATGAAGCATGAAGTGACTTTGATACACTTTAAATATATAAATTCATCTTGTTGGCAACTGGCCATGAGACAACGGAAAAGGGACTAACCATTGGGCTTGGTATTATGGAGCGAGGTGCTTTACACTCCCTATGTGATGTGATCACAACACGCTGGCTGTCTCCTCGAATCCGGTCGTTTGCTCACACAAAGAAGCCCCTGCCCAGGGTGCAGCCGTCCACCTGGGACGGGGCCCCTCGCGGCCGTGCCCAGCGGTGCCCAGCGGTGGCCGCGCCCAGCCGTGGTCCGGGCTCGGCGAGCACAGCGCGCGGCACGCGGCGGGCCCTGCTCCTCGTCCTTGCGGCGCTGCACCGCCTTTGTCCTTCAGTCACTTCCCCGAGCTGGGAGGGCTTTGGTTAGGTCTTCCCTTTCCTCCCCTGCACGATGATGCCAGAGCCGTCTTCCACGATGCCTCCTTCTGCAGCCCTTCTGCCGCTCAGCAGCTGCTCCGCTGCAACTCCCTTGCCCTTTATGACCCTCTAGACCGGAGCTGTTCCTTCTTGTCCCCTGCCGGAGGCTGGGCCTGTCGCACCGCAGGAGCTCCTGGCTATCCACCCCTCGTAGACTGACCCGTGCATGCGCCATGTGATGCAGACGCGCTCGGATCCTCCACAGGAGGGTCATGACATCGAGCCAGCGATTCTTGAGATAAAGCCCATGAGCACGGGTCCCTAGCTTTCCTTTCCCCGCTTACTGCATTACCTTATCTCCTAATACTAGCGAGCCCCTATTGAGCACCGGCTGTGTACGGATCCTGTCCTAAGGACTTTACACGTCTGATTCGTGTACTCTTCACAACAGTCCTATGAGGCACTGTTGTCATCAGTATCCCCCTTTTACAGGTGAGGAAACGGAGGCTAGTCATTTGTCTGAGGTTAAAAAGCAGAGTCAGGATCCAAACCATGCAGAATTCATGGTCTTACCCTGTGTCCTATCTAGCCCTTCTTATTAGGAGGAAATTCACATTCCTAGTATTTTGCTGAGCACACCAGAACTCCTTGGTAAGTCCTTCTTGGTTGAACAATTTCTTCCTCAAGGAGAAAACCTTTTGAGATAGAAAAAAGAATCCCATAGGACAATTAGCAAGTGTTCGGGCCCACATATCCCTACCTTATTGTGACTCCTGGTGGGTTTTGTGGGATCTTTTGGGCTGAGAAAGGGATCAAAAGGCCAGGACAGGTCTGACTTTCAAGCAAAGGCTGGTGGTGCTGAGGCCATAAAGGGAACAGACTAGGTTGGGGTTTAATTGGGTTTGAGGTGGGCACTTGTGTGTACAGGGTTAGTGATAGTGTTTAGTGAATGTCCCAATAGCCTATCTATAAGTTTTAAATACATACATAATATGTGTTAATACTTGAGAAAGCTTTCTCTCTACATAGGTTCAGAGGTGTTTAAATTTTTTTCAGTGCTTTGAGGCTAATTCCCTTACATTAACATTTTAAAATTATATCACAACCAACAAAGATGATATGAATTGAGAAACATGTATGATTTGTGAGAGATTTGGTTTTACCACTTTCAAATTTTTTTCAGTGCTTTGAGGCTAATTCCCTTACATTAACATTTTAAAATTATATCACAATCAACAAATATGATATGAATTGAGAAACATGTATGATTTGTGAGAGATTTGGTTTTACCACTTTTGTTGACATTTTGGAGTGTGCAGGAGAGATTAAAGAAGAACTGTTTCAGGGTGAGCTTCTTAGAGAGGATTTGATCAATGATTATTCAGTGATAAATATCTGTGGAGCTACCCTTGTGTGCCAGGCACTATGCTAGGCGGTGAAGATACAAAGCTGAGAAAAAACAGTTCTTGCCACATGAGGATCCCACCTCCTAATGGGAAAGACAGTGTGTAGACAAACAGTTAGCAAAAGTGCTATTATAACGGGGGTGAGAAACTCTGAAATTGCCAGTTTCATGAGTGCTATATCAGGTGGACATTATAGGAGCCAAATGCTTGCACTTTTATGTTTTTGTTTTTAATATTTGGGTTTTTCTTTTTTACCTCCCCCTCCTTTTTGAGGGTAAGTACAGGGGAAAATGCTAGTGATGCTAGTACTATTTGTTCATCCAACCATGGAAGCCTGACCACTTTTTAGCTTTTGAAACATTCAATGACTCAAAATACTATCAAACCCCAAGCAATCCTTTGGTAAGGATGGAATGGCAGAGAAACGGATCTTGGATAGGAAGTCACCTGGTACGGGAACAGGATGGGGCAGTGGTTACAGTTCAATTGTGAACAAAAGAATCCATTTTCACTATTTAAGTGGAAAATGATTAATTACCAGGTATTAGGTGGCTTTCAATTCAGTGGAGCCAGCTGGGTGGAGCTTCCAGCAATAGCTCCCAGCCCTCCCCCCCGAATTTCATTGCCTCTGCCACTGATTCACACCAACACAATGGGGGCCTGCCCTTTAGCTGTCCCTGTGTTGAACTCAGGTCTGAATTCGTGCTTCTAAGTACATCTGATTGGCAGACTCTAGATCATATTTGGACCCTGAGTTGCAAGGGAGTCTGGAAGTAGTTTCTAGCTTTCCTGTCTGCAGCACAGGACGGCACATTAGGATGGGGTATTGATCAAGCCAGTCCATGGTATCTGTTGCAGTTCATTACAATATTGAGATTCTGTATTAGTCCATTTTGTGTTGCTATAACACAATACCTGAGGCTGGGTAATTTATAAAGAAAAGAGGTTTATCTGGCTCATAATTCTGGGACAGCTGCATCTGGTGTGGGGCTCAGGCTGCTTCTACTCATGGCGGAAAGCACAGCAGGCAGCCGGCGGGTATAAGCAGATCACATGGTGAAAGGAAGCAAGAGAGGGAGGGGAGGTGCCAGGGTCTTTTTAAACAACCAGCTTTCACGGGAACTAATAAACAGTAATAAAGTGAGAACTCACTCACTACTCCCACCCACCCGGGGAGAGCATTAATTCATTCATGAGGGATCAATCCCCATGACTTAAACAGCTCCCAAGACTGCCACCTTGGGGATCAAGTTTCCACATGAGTTTTGATGGGACAACACATCCAAACTCTATTAGATTCTCTGTCCAGGAGCACCCTCAGGCCTGGACCTTGTCATTGCCTAACCCCCATGCATATCATTTGCTTTTCAGGCCAGGTGACTTCTCAGTCTATGCCTAGATGGGGTTCATTTTGAGGGCTGATGTTTTTAGCACAGCTTCCAACCACAGTGAAAATATCATGGAAACGGGAGTGAATATTGTTTGGGCCTTCCTAGCTTCTTGGCTGTGGAGTATCAGCTGGCATAAATAGGGTTAGCTAATGCTGCCAGCCTTGTGGAACCATTAGAAACAGGTGACCCCTCTGGGCCAAAGACACCCTAAGCCAGAGTGCGCATCCTGTCCAGCAAAGCAAGGGTTGGATTTCGGTCCGCACCTCCTCCCTTGACCACGCACCTTTGTGCAGTGTATGGCCTGCACAACTATATGCGGCAGCCCTGGGGGGTTGGGTCATGTTCATTTCCACCATGGGCAGAATGGGAAGGTGTCCACACAGGGCCTGGCCTGGTTAGTCAGGCTGTGTGGAAGGCTCACACTGCCTCTCTCTCTCCTCTTCCCACAGAGATCCCCCAGTGTGCTGGCTGCAACCAGCATATTCTGGACAAGTTCATCCTGAAGGTTCTGGACAGACACTGGCACAGCTCCTGTCTCAAGTGTGCAGACTGCCAGATGCAGCTGGCTGACAGGTGCTTCTCCAGGGCCGGGAGTGTCTACTGCAAGGAGGATTTCTTCAAGTAAGTCAGAGCTGTGGGCACAGCCTCCGCCTTGCCTTGACCTGTCTCTGCCTCCCCCCGTGCAGTAAGGGGGAAGTTTGCAGTGAGGCAGGATGGGGAGGACAGAGGGTCCACCCTGGATGGCGTGGGTGAGTCCTGCTGATGAAAAGATGTTCCTCATTGAGGTCGCCCTTCTGATCACCAGCCCCATCACTGCCTGAGGGTTGAGGCAGGATGGGGAGGACAGAGGGTCCACCCTGGATGGCGTGGGTGAGTCCTGCTGATGAGAAGATGTTCCTCATTGAGGTCGCCCTTCTGATCACCAGCCCCATCACTGCCTGAGGGTCATATCTTGGCCTCACCTGAACTCTGCAAGGTGTGGGGGTTAGGAGCCTATGAAGGCATGGGCCGGATTTCTCCCAGGTAGCTGACAAAGGATCTCTGCAAATCCTAAAAGGAGTTGCTCTTTCTGTCTTGGTGATTTGGTGCCTCAGGGCACTTGGCTATAACATTCCCGTGACTTTCAGAGCAGGTGCTTCTAGGTTCATGCCCCCTCTCTAGAAATATCTCCATGGCTGTGTTTCCCCAGCCTGCTTCAAGGGCCTCAGAGGCTTGGAAGAGTTGCTCCTGGTAGGAGTCAAGCCAGGCTTGGTCTGTGTCATTACTTTAAATAAAAACATGATGAAGAGGCAATTTTGTGTCATAGTTAAGAGCCCAGATTCTGCCTGGGTTTAAACCCAGTTATTGGCTATGTGCCCTTGGACAAGTTACTTAACTTCTCTGTGCCTCAGTTCTTTTATCTGTAAAATGGGGCTGATAATAATAGTTCGTACCTCATTAGCTTTAAATAAGTTAATATGCATAAAGTCCTTAGCATAGCACCTGACGTGAGTGACAGCTCTTAAGATGTTGGTGTATTTTTCATTCTGGGGTTGGGGCCATCAGAAAAAGCTTGGACCTTTTGGTCAGGGTGAGGGGACTTCCTGGAATTTATTTCCCGTGGCATTTAGTCTGGGACTTCTCTCCCAGAACCTATTACCGGAGGCACTCAGGCTGGTGCCTCTGCCCACAGGGACCAGCTGGCAACAGCAAAGCCAAGAACGGGAGGTGGGGGCCACGGGCCCGTGACACTGAGCCCTGTGTTCGGGCACACCAAGGCCCATGGGGTGCTCTGCGTGAGGTTGGGGCGCTGGGAGGCTCACCAAGGCCTGAAAACATTCAGCGTGAATGACCAAGGCCCCGAGAGGCAGTGCACATGCTCCTGACGGCGAGCCTTCTAGAGACAGGGAGGAGAAAAGGGGAGAAATGGGAGTCCCAGACACAGAACTGGACTCTTCCCAAATCCTCCCAAAGGTTTAAGTGATTAAATAAGTGATTATTTAAATAAGTGATTTGAATTTCTGAGGATTCTCAGATTTCTTCAGCACAACGTGAGTTGGCAAGCACATTTAAGAAGATCTTGGTGACTACTGTCACCGTCACACTTTGGTCAAATACGTGCTGCCCCTTCCTTGTGTGTGTGTGTGCACATCTGTGTGTGTGCTACGGGAGGGCAGGGGCAGTGGCTGTCACAGGCACACCCAGCAAGTCCCTGATGGTTCAAATGCAGGGACAGGCCTTCGGTTCTTCCTTAAGCTTTTTGCGTACTGCTCCCCTTTCTCCCAATCTTCCTTCTGCTTTGTCCACTTCCGGCCCACCTCTAATTTCCTTTATTCTGGCATTTCTGCAGTTGCATTCCCTCCACTCACATCCTTTCTCAGTGGACAACAAGAGTTTGCCACCGTCTTCCTCCCTCGATGATGCCCTGGCCAAATGCCATGGCAGGTCTTATGGGACCATGGAGGGGGTGAATTTCAGTGTGCGTGTGCACATGTGCACCTGCATTGTGTACCCGTGTGCATATGTGGACATAAGCGTGTGTGTAAGGAGGGCAGGAGGGAGCAGGTGAGAGGGCCTGGACTTGGGGGTTGGGTGAGCTGCCCTTGCTTCTGTGATCAGGGCACCATCCTCTGGTCTGAAGCTACAGTGAGCTCCAGGGATAAGGCAAGAGGCCATGTCATCTTCTTGCCCATCTAGGGACAGGGTAGGTGCTCAGATGTCCCTGGGTCAGGCCTCAGGTCCTGTAGGGATTCTGTCTGGTCCAACCTGGCAGCCTGTGGAGTATAGGCAAAGCCCGTCAGGGCCATGGATCCAGGGCTTTGTCACCAGAGGGCCCCCTGGAGCCCCCAGCATCACCTCAGGGGGCTGTCTGATTTCTGCACCCTGACCGGCTGGTCCCAGGTTTGGAAACGGAGGGTGGAGAGGGAGGTGGCAGCAGCGCAGGTGTAGGGTTGGGTTGGGGAGGAGAAATGACAAGGAGAGAGGGTCTCCCCAGACCCAGGAGGGGCCCAGAGTGTTGCCAGGGTCTTTTTAAACAACCAGCTTTCACGGGAAC